GATCACCAAGAACCAAAAAAATCCCACAGCCCAGTAGCCTGAGCCAACCTGAGTGGTCACACACCTTCTTAATTCCATCACTGGGTATTCTAGTGGACTCCGAAAGAGATTGGACTTTTTATTGGGAATCACAGAGTGTTCTTCCCATGCTTTTTGTCCTTGAGGATTCTTTGAAAGTTTCCTAATCTTGATCTTCTGCCTGCTCAGATTTGAGGGGTGAGGGTAATGGCTGAGAAAGAGGGAGATGGAAGCAGAGGACATCACAAAGGAGTGATGTCTGATACCTTGCTGCTTGCTCCTCCCCCTCCAAGCACAGGACACAAGGACTGTTGCCATCTCTGATGCTGTGAGCCAGGTCAAGGTTCAAGTCAACAAGGCCTTCCTGGATTCCCGGACCAGGTACGTGAGAAGCACACACACACCATACTTCCCTTCCTAGGTTTCCTGTTAACAACAAGCCCATCTAGGCCAGTCCTGACAAGCCAATGAACCAGAGCAATTATACAGCTTGCCTTTCCACCTCTCCACCTCGGAGCATGTGGCAATTACGAGTAATAGTCCCCAACTCCTAAAATCCTCATCCTGTAGGTTACCTTGAAGAGGATGTCTAATCTAATCCTATAAGCACTTTCTTCCACATGGCCAATGTTTCCTTAGGTCATATATCCCAGAGTCTCAGAATGCCTGTAGGTAGAAGTTCTCCATTTATTCAACTAATAATGACTGACTTAGATCAGGTCCTAGAAGCAGAACCTGAGACTTGGGTTCATGTGCAGGTGACCGATTAGGGAGCGNTTCTTGCCCTACTCAAGGAGTTGCATTCATTTGGCAGGTACTCAACACCTATTATATACCAACACTAGGCTTGGGTGCTGGAAAAACAAAAATAAATAGGAGGAACTCATGGCCTGATAGGGGAAACAGTGACATGAGATATGAGTAAAACAGAGTGGGAGGACAGAAGAAGGAATGGCCTAACTTTGCCTAGAGAAATCTGATACACTTCACAGAGATGGTGCCATTTGGCCTGGGTTTTGAAGAATGAATGAGTTTATCAGGCAGAGAGGGCATTGCATAGGAAAGAGTGTGAATGGTGGACCAGAGGATGGTGGACCAGCCTGGCATTTGAGAGGCAAGAGCTGTAGCTCTGCCGCCAGATAGTGCTTTATGTCCCAGGGAAGGCACCCGGCTTCACACCCAATTAAAGGGCTTGGGAGATGGTTTCTGCACGGAACATGATAACATCACAGAAGCCTCTTATACTCTGAAGCCCGATGTCCTCTACCCTCTGCCCTGCTTGGCTCTGGCTGCAAACAGTGTCCCTCAGGGATCTTTTTGCACGCCCTTTTCCAGTGACATGGCCTTGGATTGGCCTGGCTCTGCTTTTTGCTCCATATCCTTCCTTCACACCCGCCAAGAAAGCTGGCTGACACATGGAAAAGAATTCAGCTTTGGCCTTCAGGTTCCCCCTCCAACTTCCCAGTGAGGGGAATGTGAATGGTGTTCCAAGGATAGAAGAGGAGAAATGAGCATCTAAAGTTTTTTTCTTGTTCAGTTTTCTCAACTTTCATGTCTTTGACTACGATATGTTTCCTCCTCAGTCTATCTCAGATGATGTTTTTGTTTCATAGACTAACCTTTTACTTTTTGTTTGTATTATAAAATACATTAATCATTGAAAGAATAGTATAATGAAAACTTGTGTGCCCTCCAGCTCTCTTTAAAAAATCAAGGATATGATGGTTGCCAGGGGTTCGGAGAAGGGGGAAATGGGGAGGTGGTGTTGAATGGATATAGAGTTTCAGCTTTGCGAGATGAAATAGAGGCCTGTAGTGCTACAGTATGAATATACTTGTCACTACTGTGTGGTTAAAAATGGTTAAGATAGTACATTTTATGCTATGTGTTTTTACCACAATTAAAA